TTACAGGTGCACAATACAGCACCCAGATTTATGTGGATTCTAAGGGATCAAATTCAGGCCATCAAGTTTGTATGGCAAGGATTTTACTGGCTGTACCATCTCCCTAGTCCTGAAAATTACTTTTCTAGCAGATGACCTTGGGCTCCCAGATCAAGCTCCAGAATTTCGAGACGACTAACCATGGCCTACAACCAGAGTTTGGGGCATCTGTTATGAGCAAAGCAGACATAGTGTAACAGGAAGTCCAGTTCCAGGCTAAGCTCCTGGATCCTGGTACAAGTTTGTCTCCGAGGACCCGCACATGTCAGAACTTCTGCCTCCTCTGTGCTTTCTCCAGCGCTCAGTTCAGGCTTTGAGATGAACCAGGAGTGTGGGATTCACCCCTGCCAGGACTCTCTGTTGCCCACCCAGATGCCTGGGGGTCAGCAGTGTCCCTCCACTCTGCAGGTCTAGTCCTCCACCAGCTCCTCAGTCCTGCTCTGCCCCAGGTGCCACCTTCTGCCTCAATCCTGAGGCTGCTGCTCCCAGTAAGCCTCCAGTTCCTCTGCTCTATAAATAAGAACCAGTTGCCCCCCAGAGGCCAGTACTCAGACCACCCTCACATTCCTGTCCTTTCTACTGTCCTGCTGCAGTGGAAGAGGGAGGCTGATCAGACAGCAGTGGCTTCAGAACACGGAGCACGAGACACCGCGATGGGCACCAGGCACTGAGCACCACTGACAGAAGGGACAGCACTGGGTGGGGATGGCCAAGCAAAGGGCTAGAGACCAGCTACATCCAAGAGGGCCTTGGAAACAATGGCTGGGGACTTGAACTCTGTAGTGAGTGGGGAGCCATGGAAGAATGTAAGTACCAAAGGGGTCTGGTCTTATGTCATCTGGGAGACCGACTGAGACAGGACAGGACAGGAGATGACTCCAGCGTGAGGATGAGCCCCAAGGAGGCTTGAATCAGGCAGGTGGGGCGGGGCAGAACGGTGAGGGTAGAACCCTGATCCAGCTGTACTGTGTGAGGTGCATCTATTGCAGGGTATTCACAGAAAACTGCAACCTGTTCACTCAGAACACTGAGTGCCCCTGCCACTTGTCCAGTCACCTCTCATCCAACCCTCAGGAAGATACATGACTGAGGGTCAAACTCTCCGAGTGACATCTGAGGGAGAGTCTCCAAGGAATAGGGACATGTTTGTGACTGAGGGACACACTCTGTGGTGTGGGGACACACACACTGAGGGACGGTCTCTGAGTAACAGGATCACACTCAGAATCAGAAACACACTCAGAGCTGAGTTGAGGGGGCACTCACACAGGGGGACACGCTCTAAGGTAGAGTCACACATCTGAGGACACACTCTCTGGGGATCAAGGACGCATCTGAGGGACACTCTGTCTTTGATGAAATGATACACTTTTAAGGGACACTTTCTGACATACACATGTCTTTGTGGAAGTGGCCTGGCTTCATGTGTGTAAGCAGCTCAAAGATGACCGCTGGTACGTGAGGACTTGGCAGCACTGCTGGCCAGAGTGGTAGGATGAGGAGCTGACTCAGGTCAGCCTTGCCCCACTTCCCCTCAGGTCCTGATGTCTGTCAGTCAGTAATTGGCATCTCTCATGGCCCTAGATCTAGGAAAGTGGACCTTGTAGAGATCCAATCATCTGCCTTGGCCAGAGTCCCAGGTGGCAGAGCTAGAGGATGGACTCCTAGTATGATCACAGAGTTGTAGGCCCCCCCTCAACTGCCTTGGCAGACAATAGGACACCCAGTATTCCAAAGATGTCCAGGAACCTTCCACCTGGGAGAGTTGCCCCCTCCCCTCTCCCCAGCTGAGGCTGAGGGACAGACGTGTAGATGCATCTTTGGAGTGAGCAGAGAGCACTCTGCAATCTGCCCTGGCTTTCCTCCAGTCATACCACCCCTACCACCACAACTAGGCCCTAACTTACTTGCAGTAGGTGGTGGTCGGAGCCAGAAGATTCCCTTCCAGCTTGATCACCATGGCTCCCATCTTCTCCACCTTGTGTGAGGCATGTGCAGCCATCTTGGAGGCAAAGGCGATCTCATACCAGAAACCTGAAAACTGGGGGATCAGGAGCAGAGAGGGGAGCTACCCAGGTGCACCCTATGAGCCATGCCATATCCCTCCCTTCCAAGAGGTGCGGTAGTCTGGAAAGTTCTAGGGGTGGAGAATAGCCAACATGTTAGAGGACTGAAGAACTTCCCTTAGACAGGTTCTGAGCAAGGCCCAGCCTCCGTAAGAGAGCACTGAGCTTGGTTCACAGTGACCACAGCTACCTTGACAAAGTCAAAGTCCTTCACCACTGCATCCTGTGTCCTCACAGCCATCCCTGCACACAGCCCCAGCAGGCTGAGGAGCCTGTTGCCTCCATGTGGCCGGCAGTCAGGCACCTGGAATCAGCTCCTCAAACCACAGGAAACCACAGCCTTTGGCCGGGGGCCTCAGGACTTTAAATCCTCCCCCGTAGGTGCTTGGAAGAGGCACAGAGGGTCCTCATTAGGCCAGGTTGGGAGCAGAGTGTAAGTCAGCCAAGTGGCTCACCCACCTGCTGGATAGCAGGACCCCGGAGACCGCCCCCAGTGGACATAGATCTTGCTGTTGAGTATCCACTCACGCATGCTTCCGTTCACTCAACAGCCGAGTTGCTATTGTCCAGGTAAGTATAGGTAACAGAGCATGCCCCCATTAAGGTGGTACAGGTGCCACTAGGACCCCCTTGGGAGGTTCTGGTCATAGGCACAGAGAGTTGAAGATATGCTAGAGGCTCCAGAGCTCCAGGGACAGTGGGGGCAGGATCAGGGACACTGGAGCGTGCGTGGCTGAGTCTGTGCAGCTCAATGTTCAGAGAGCTGAGAACCTCAGGGAGTGGGCTAGAACGTCCTGACCCCTCCAGCCCCACGGCTGACCCTCTGAGTACTTTGAAGAAGCTACAGCGGTCAGTCAAGGGCAAGATAGGCAGCATCCTACCAGCACGCCAGGACTAAAGCCAGCCCCGTGTCCTGACATTCTCTGTGCCTACAAACTTGCCCTTGTGAGCAGAGACAGCAATGTCCAGTCCACAGGTGAAGAGCTGGGCACAGAGGGGCAAGACATCTGCGCGGCATCTGCACTGAGGGGCAGCCCCTATGACATCACCACATCTGCACTGAGGGGGCAGTTCCTATGACATCACCGCATCTGCACTGAGGGGCAGTCCCTATGACATCACCGCATCTGCACTGAGGGGCAGCCCCTATGACATCACCGCATCTGCACTGAGGGGCAGCCCCTATGACATCACCGCATCTGCACTGAGGGGCAGCCCCTATGACATCACCGCATCTGCACTGAGGGGCAGCCCCTATGACATCACCGCATCTGCACTGAGGGGCAGCCCCTATGACATCACCGCATCTGCACTGAGGGGCAGCCCCTATGACATCACCACATCTGCACTGAGGGGCAGCCCCTATGACATCACCGCATCTGCACTGAGGGGGCAGCCCTCATGACATCACCCCCCAGGGATAGTTTAGGTCCTTTGCTAGTCACGATGGCCAGTGTTCAAATTATGAAGGAAGCAGTAAGAGAGACACAGAGAGAGATGAGAAGCAGAAGCAAGTTAAGGAATATGAGTGAGCCCTGGGGAGACAGCTGATGCCCACAGATGCAGTGGCCAGTCGGATCTGCTGGTGGCCTAGCTTATGGACTGATGCACCCTCTTTCCTCCTAGCAGAGACCAGTGTTTCCCAGCACACCTCTTAAAAATTGGTCTCCAAGGCTGGGTGTGGTGGCACACGCCTTTAATCCCAGCACTCGGGAGGCAGAGGCAGGCAGATCTCTGTGAGTTCAAGGCGTGCCTGGTCTACATAGTGAGTTCCAGGACAGCTGGAGCTACAGGGAGACCCTGTCTCAAAAAGACCAGAAAAAAAAATCAGTCTCCAGCTGGTCTGAAGCCCAAATAAAGTCAAGGCAGCCCCTGGGGCTATACCTAGACCCCTACCCATCTCAGCCAACCCCAGATTGACAGCCCGACTCCCAGCCCTCCCTGACCCCCTCCAACCTCAATAGAATGTTCTGGGTCTGCCCATTTGAGCTGTCTTGATACTGATTATCACATCTTAGAATCTGTACTTTGTAAGTAATGCATGAAGGCCAATGAAGTAAGCCCCCAGGGAACTTCCAAGGTTTGGGGGTGCTGTGTGCCCACCACTGGAAGGGTCTGCATCAGAGATTCTCTGTACCCTAGAAAGAGTTCAAGGGAAAGGAAAGGCTTTTTTTTCTGCCTTTTGGAAAAAAAAATGTTTAGGATCCTGATAACTGCACACTGCCCCACCCAGCCTCCAATGAGGCACATGCAGTTGCTGTTATAACGCCTCTGCATCTTTATGATGTCACACCAGGTACCAGGCACTGGCCTCAGTACAGAGGCCCAGGTGTGGATTCCTCCATTCTGCTCATCGGGATGAATGCCTTTTCCCTTCTGAGCCTCAGCTGCCCATCTGTCCAGTGGGCACAAGGCACCTCAGAGGGTATCTTAAGGACAGACAGATGCAGAGGTAGACAGCCAACAAGGTGGGTAGTGGGAGAGGCTGGGGCTCCATCACAGCCAGGGCCACACACTCCACATGCCCTCACTGGAGGCTCTGCTTCCGGCATGGTCCTGAGCATGAGGCAGCTTGTTTCCCAGCGTTATCTACCACCCCAAATAGCCTGAATGGGGTGTGACAGAGCAGGGAAGGACCCTTTCAGGTGGGGGTCTAGGACTGGCTTCCCTACGTGTGAGGTTCATCCTTCACAAGAGTTTTCACAGAAAACGCAGGCTTGTTTCCTCCACCTGGGGCAGAGGAGCGTTCCTACCACCCTTTGTCCTGCCCCCAGGAAAGATACCGGGCAGCATATGGCAACAGGGTTTATTTGGAGAAGGTTCAGGGGGCTCTTGGGAAGGGGCAGGAGAGGCTGGGTAGGTGGGGTTGTAGCCACAGGCCAGGGCAGAGGCTCCTCAGATCAGTCCCTGTAGGTAGAACAGCAGAGTTCAGAACTATGTGTGACCTCCAGTGGCCCTGAGGCATCCCAGCTGCCCGGCTTTGGCAAAGCACTGGTTTGCTGAGTCTCAGTTTCTCTACCTGCAAAATGAGTCATAGTGCCAACCTCTAGGGGCTAGACTGTGACAGTGAGGTTTCACAGAGGGTGGGTCAGCACAGTGCTAGACACAGAAAGCTCCAAGATATCCAAAAGGGCCTGAACTCCCTTTCCTACCCCCTTCATAGGACCTGAAGGGACAGAACTGGCCCATAGCCCTATTGGACCGAACAATACTAACAAGGGACCTCCCCTACTCCACCGAGTTCTGTCCCGGACCTAAGAGTCCAGCCTAATAACTTTGGTCACATTGCAGACTGCATCTCTTTCCAAACGACAAAATAGATACATCTCTGAAGCCAGCCATTAGTGCTGTTGGTGGTCCCAGTCAGTGGATGGGTGGATGAGGATGACCCTTCCCTCCAAGGTCCAGGATCTAGTGCCAGCAGGAGCTCCATCAGGCCCAGGCTACAATGCACACCAAGGGGAGTGGTCTCACCTCTTTCAGCAGCTCAGCACACCTCCCTGCAGGAAAGAACAGCATGATGTATGGTCAGGAGGGTGTCAGACCCCATCACAGGGGTCTGGCCTAGCATCCTCCCTGAGATACCTATGCTCACCATGCCTGGCCAGCAGATAAAGGCCAATGTCTGCTGTCATGTCCCGGAACCTCCAGAAGCTAGGATTATCCTCATCCTCAAGGCTCCGAGCTACGGGGCACAACAGAGCTGGACTTGCAGCCCAAAGGGGAACAGCTGCTGGGCTGAGCCCCCACCCAGGCTGAGCTTACTGAAGTACTCGAGGACATGGAAGTCCCTCCCCTGCCAGATCAAGGACATCCTCAGGATGGCATAGTGCTCGTAGTCCGTGTCCAGCACAAAGATCTCCCTGTGGCCTTCAGGAGTCAGCAGGGGGGTTAGAGAGCCTTGTCTAGACCTAGACGCTCCAGGAGGTGATCTTGAATGCTGGGTCTGCAGGGTCGAACTCCCTCCTGTTTCTGCTTAGTGTTGTAACCTGCCCATGACATCCTGAAAATACCTAGCACAGCCCTTGAAGGTCAACCCAGTACACTTGTATTGATTAGGGCCAGGGGTCTGGGACCCGAGGATCCCAGGAAGAGCACAGAAAGCCACAAGGCCAGCAGTGACTGGTATTCAGAGCCGGGCACCCTCAACTTCAGCAATAGTGCGACGGCACTTACCAGGAAAAGCAAATTCCCCCGCAGTGTCTCTTTCTGAACCCACTGCTTTTTCTGTCTTACAGTTTCCCGAGCTGAAAGGCAGCACAGTGTTTATTAGAAACCTGCCAGCCTGCATCCCACCTGCTGGGCATATTCTGAGTGGGACATGCCTTCAGAAAGGGTGCTGGCAGCCTGGTAACCATCCTAGAGCCTGGGGTCCACAGAGGAGAGTCATGCATGGGGGCAGGGCTACCTAAGCCTCTCACCTTCAAGGAGTCAGCTGCAGCTACCAAAACTTTCTTACAAACCAATGGGGTTTCATCTAAAGCTCTTGCTTATATTAGGGTTAAAACGCAGGTCTAGGAGCCTAGAATCTGGTATTCTCTAGAGATGGAGGTCCTAGGCAGGTGGGCTAGTCTGCCTGGTGATGATCTCACAGCTACAAGGGTTCCAGCCTAGACTGTGTGCAGCCACACACGTTCCTTTTTCTCTCCAGCAGGCCACATCCCAGAAGGACCCAGGCCTCTCACCTGTTATACACGGCCTTCACAGTGATGTTCCTCCCACTGAAGGTGAGGAATAAGCCCTCCACTCTCTTCTGAGCCCGCAGCACCAGGTTTTGGTCAGAGGCCACAGCCACTTCTTTCCAGAATCCTGCGATCTAGAGAATAGAGCTGGAGTGTCCCTGGTTCTGAGAAGCCAGGCTGAGCTGGCCTCCTGGACTATAGAGGACATTTCGGGAGCACTCAAGCAGAGAGTGGGTGGGCTCTGAGAAGTCAACAGGTGGCCATAAGACTACTTGTCCTCAGCAGAGTTTTCCTTCCTAGAGGCCCCTACAGGACACTAGACAGAGATGTCCCTCCTCAGCCCACCATCTGGACTTGCCCCAAGGCCGATTCTTGGTCCCCCAGGAGACCTTCCCAGTAGGTGTGGGAAAAGCAGGCAGCCAGGCCTCAGCCCCAGCACATTGAAGCACGGTTCTGCCAACCTTGTTGTCCCTGCAGACAGGCTCTCCTGCTCTAGCAGTCCTCCCAGGACACAGGACTTCGCCTGAAACTTTTAGAAACTGGTCATTGTTACGAGATAAAAGAGTCCATGTACCCAAATCCTGTCCCCTCTGAGTGTCCAGTGTGGACCTGGCTGGCAGCCAGCAGACTCAAGGAGGAGGAGGGCCTAGAGGGAATCCAAGTAACCAGCATCCCACTCCAGAAAAGGCCTCTTTGGTTCTGCAGTACACAAGGACAGGATCATGAAGGACTCCATGATCTATGGAGCAGGAAGGGACCCCCAACTCTGTAAATCACCAAGGACCCAGAAATGACCTGGCAGAGGACACCAGCTGCCTGCTAGACACGGGTGGCACATTGGAGGACTCAGGGAGAAGAGAGGCCCACAGGTCTCAGAGCCCCACCTGTGCCCTTAGCTCTCTGCCTCTTGAGGGAGAAGGGGCCTCAAGGGGGGGGTCCCACTTCTGCAGGCTGTACTGTTACCTAGGGACCTGCAAAAACTGGACACTCTTTGTTCCCTCTGTACCCAACTCCCCATCAACCCAGTGGTGCCTCCAAGCTAGAAAGAAAAAGGCACCTTCTCCTTGTCCAGTTCCACCCTGACAGATGCCACCTGTGGCAGGAACAACAGGAAGAAGCCCAAAGCTATGCTCAGCAGCTTGGCCTCCATTGCAGAGTCTGGCTGGTGGCCTCTGCTTGTGGAGAGCGCCAGCTTATATTTGGAGAGGGTCGAGCATGTGTACCGCCCAGAGAATGTCATTGGGCAGACCTGGCAGCCAGCTGCTCGCTCAAATTCTGTTCAAATGCCATCAGTCCAGTGACACCCACACCCAGAGGGGGTTGGACCAGGCTGGCCAGCAGGCAGTCAAGCTACCTCAGTCCTAGTGTGTGGACAGTGATGGACCATGCAGTGGGACTCCAGCCACCCTGGCTCTACACTCTGTGTACTGACCCAGGCAAGCTACTTCATCTCCATTTCCCCATTTGTAATAATAATGAAAATTAAGACAGCAGTACAATATTGAACTGGGCATGGAGCCCTGGGTCCCCTCCCAGACAGCCTGCCTGGACCTCACTTCCTGACCCTGCACTCCTAGGACCACCTGCCACCCTGCTTATGACCCCTTCTGGCTGCAAACCTCCAGCAAACCCTGGATGGTGTCACAATTCTTGTCTCTGTGTGTGTGTGTGTCTGTGTGTGTGTCTGTGTCTGTGTCTGTGTGTGTCTGTGTGTCTGTGTGTGTGTCTGTGTCTGTGTCTGTGTGTGTCTGTGTGTCTGTGTGTGTGTCTGTGTCTGTGTCTGTGTGTGTCTGTGTGTCTGTGTGTGTGTCTGTGTCTGTGTCTGTGTGTGTCTGTGTGTCTGTGTGTGTGTCTGTGTCTGTGTCTGTGTGTGTCTGTGTGTCTGTGTGTGTGTCTGTGTCTGTGTCTGTGTGTGTCTGTGTGTCTGTGTGTGTGTCTGTGTCTGTGTCTGTGTGTGTCTGTGTGTCTGTGTGTGTGTCTGTGTCTGTGTCTGTGTGTGTCTGTGTGTCTGTGTGTGTGTCTGTGTCTGTGTCTGTGTGTGTCTGTGTGTCTGTGTGTGTGTCTGTGTCTGTGTCTGTGTGTGTCTGTGTGTCTGTGTGTGTGTCTGTGTCTGTGTCTGTGTGTGTCTGTGTGTCTGTGTGTGTGTCTGTGTCTGTGTCTGTGTGTGTCTGTGTGTCTGTGTGTGTCTGTCTGTGTGTGTCTGTCTGTGTGTCTGTGTGTCTGTGTTCATGTGGGGGTGGCAGGTCTACATGCATGTGAGTAGGAGGCCAGAGATCAACCTCAGGTGTTGCCACTCAGGTCCATTCATCTTGTGTTTTGCTTGGTTAGTTCATTCGTTCGTTTATTCGTTCATTGGTTTGTTGTCTTTTTGAGACAGGGTCTCTCACTAACCTGGATCTTACTAAGTAATTTAGACAGTCTGGCCAGTGAGCCCTAGGGATCTACCTAGCTTGGCCTCCGCAGCACTGAGATTACAAATACACACCACCACATCCGGCTTTTTATGTGAGTTCTGAAGAGAGCACTTTACCACCTGAGCCATCTCCCCAGTCCCAGTGACACAGTTCTTTTTTTTTATTGTCTTTTTGAGACAGGGTCTCCCTGTAGCCCCAGCTGTCCTGGAACTCACTATGTAGACCAGGCTGGCCTTGAACTCACAGAGATCCGCCTGCCTCTGCCTCCCAAGTGCTGGGATTAAAGGCGTGCACCACCACGCCTGGATGACACAGTTTTTTTTTAATATTTTTTTATGTGTATGAGTGTATTGCCTGTATGTATGTGAGTGCACCCATGTCGCACAGTGCCTCAGAGGTCAGAAGAGGGCTTCGGATTCCCCTGGAACTGGAGTTAAGGACAATTCGTAGCCACCATGTGGGTGCTGGGAATTGAACCTGGGTCCTCTGCAAGAGCAGTCGGTGCTCTTAACTGCTGAGCCATCTCTCCAGCCCCCAGTGACCCAACTTTTAAATATACAAAGCAAGCATCTCTCAGCCCACAGATACTTTCTAAGATAGGCAATTTTTATTTTCAAAATAAACTTTATTTGTGACAGGTATTTAAAACAAAGACTTTCACCCCCTGGAAAAAGCTTTGAAAATTAATTTTTTCCTTTCGCTTTCCCATTCCCTCCAAACTCAGCAACAAGGCACCCCAAGTGCAAAGCCCTCCCCATTCTGTCCCACAGGGAACTGGGTCACCTTGGGACCCATCAGTCCAGCTTCCCAGAGCCTTGTACAGCGAGGGACAGGTGCTGTGTTGTTGGTGATACCTCAGAATACCCAAAGCAATTCTGTCCAAAGCATCCATATCCCTCATCCTACTGGGGTGCTCTCCAACCTACAGGACCCACCTGGAGCTGTTCGAGCTGTTCAAGTCTTAAACAGCTCATGGGGAGGGCCTAGACACTGAAACCCAACCCCCAAAGGGACTCAGGCTACAGAAGACACAGGGTGGAATGTCAGGGAAGTAAGGGGATGAGTTAAGAGAGGAGGCGCGGTGGATGCCACCAGGAGCCACACAGAGAGCTCAGGGCAGCAGCGGGGAGGCTGAGGATCAGCTGGTCTCTGTCACAGTGTGACAGGCCAGGGCCTCTGGGAGCCACAGAGATGGGCTTGGCCAACAGGAGAGGAAGGGAAGTGGAGTGGGTGGCACCCAGTTCTGGGTGACCAGGGCAGGATGAGACCGGCGCCTGTGAGGGCTGACTGCTTCCAGCTCTTGCTGTCTGAGGACCACAGACACTGATAAGTAATGAACCAGAACTCCAGCACCTTCCTGATCCCCACGCACGGCCCTTTGAAGTGTGAACACTGGGCCCATTAGAAGATCAGGGGCCCCATAACAGTGAGGAAACGGCAGTGATGGTCCCTGGGGAGGAGGCCCTACAGGACACCTCTCCTTCAGGGGAGGTGTGGAGCCTATACTCTGGGGTCTGACCCCTTGGGTTTGAACCGCAGCCTGGCCACTTGCCTGCCATGTGACCTTGAATAACTTGCAAACAAGGACAGAATGAGGTGGTTATGTGTGTCCAAGAGGTCTGCCATTGAATACACAAGGCAGCTAGCCAGACAAGATCTACAACTGGCCACAACTCTGATACATTCCTCAGGTTCCCAGAGGTCCAAACCATTTGCCCAAGATCACAGAAATTGTGGGAGGCAAAATCCAGGCAAGCTAGACTTCATGGTTCTCCTGCTGTTCCACCCCCCAGCTCCTGCACCCAGCCAGGGAGACCCAGAGGGGTCCAGCGGCTAGGGTGCGTCTCCACAAGCCACCTCAGTTTCTTCATAAGTACTGTGCGCCCTTGAAGGCCACACGCAGTGGGATCGATTTTCCCTGTGGGTGCAGTGCCCCTCCCCCAATGCACCAAGCTTAAATGAAACCTCCTGCTTCTTCTGCCAGGAAAACCCCAAGTGGCTTTCCCTGGCTCTCTACCTCAGTCTCCCCAGGAGGGCTGGGATCAAGACAGGGCCCATTGTGCCCTGCCCAAGGACATTTTCGAAGAGGCAAGGAGCCATGGGGCTGCAGAATCTGTTTAATGATGAAAGGAGAAGGGTTAGAGTGGGGACATGGTGGAGAAGGGTGGAGGGCCCAGGGTGGTCCCCAAGGGCTGGGGGCCTCACTTGGCTCCTGAGGTGGTGAGGTTGGCTGCTCCAGGTTCATCCTGTGCAAGCAAGGTACAATTACTTCATCACCAATCCCTGGGCAAATGCCCTCACTTCATCCCACAAGCTAAGCACTGCTCCCCAAATCTCCCACCCACAAGGGCAAGGAAAAATAATTCTGCCACCAAAACTTCTGAAAACTCCCATACACCCCAAACTGCTGCTGCCCCAGGGCCCCAGATTCCACACCCAACCCATGGTGCCTGCCCCCGGGACCATAGAGACCAGCTACACTTCTGCATGTCTTACAGGAGTAATGACCTTCCTACCCCCAAGGCTGTGCTAGGCTCTGGGTGAAAGGACCAAAGTGACAGGAAAGTCCCAGTAGTGGTTTGGCCTTGATTCTCCTCCCTCATGTTTCCAAAGCCACCAGATGATCATAGAGGCTACGTAAGCTCAGCAGGGTTATTTAGATCCATGGAAAGTTAAGACAGTACACATGCCTCCAGCCCTTGGGGTAAGCAGGCAGGGAGCAGAGAACAACCACAGGCTTATGATCACCAACACAGTGCCAAGGTGTAGGAAATTAAGAGGGTAGGAAACGGAGAAGGACCTCCACCAACTCCTCTCTCTGCCAGACCAGGACAAACTACAGGGTGTGGTCATCCTCCCACACCCAGATGCAGGTGACTATCACACAGTCACATGTCATCCACTACCTGTGGTTTTATGAATGCCCAAATTCTTAGCAGTGAGCTTGGATAGGGACCCAATAGCTGTCTGGCATGACCTGGTCTCCCCTGAGAACCAACCTGCATGGGAGTCCCAAGGCTCCCAGACCCAGCCCTGTAGTGGGCAAGCAAATGAAAAGTTGGCAGTTCTGCCCTCACTGACCTCTTGAGCACGATACAATTCCAGAGTAAGGCACAGGGCCTGGGGGAGGAGCCCAGAGGTATGGGAACACGGAGCACATGGGACTGAATAGCATCCCCCAAAACCTGACATCCATCTGAAACCTCCAAATGAGACCTTACTCAGATGCAAGGTCTTTGTAGGCGTATTGGTTAGGGGTCACAGATGAGATCATCCTGGAGTTATGGCGGCCCTAATCCAAAGGCAGGTGTCCTTATGGAAGAAGGAGTTTGGATGCAGACAGGCAGAGGGAAGGAGCGGCACTTAGAGCGAGGCAGCCAGGGCTGGGGCAGCAGGGACGCACCTAGGCAGGTACCCACTCCCAGCTTCCAGACGCCTGGATTCCTGACTTCAGCCTCCTGGACCAGGAGAAAATGCCTTCCTGGTCTCTTCCTCCTGGTCCCTTTGGCCTGGTTGATTGTGGTAGCCCCAAGAAACTAGAGCAGGTTCCTCCGTAAGATACATCTAAGCTGCAGCCAGAAGCATGAGGCTTGCCAGGCAGAAGGGACGGCAGATGCCAGGAGTGAGTTGAAGGCACCAAGGGTCTTTACTGTCCTAAGCTCAGCAGAGAACCCACCCTGCTCGTAGTCTGAGAAGAGATGGCACTGGTCACTGGGGGTGCGGAAGTGCCTCCTTGCCCGGGAGAGCACACATCTGTGGGGAGAAGAACAAGGTAAGCTGACTAGGCAGGGACTGCCCTCCCTTCCCATAGCCACAGCCCCTGGAAGCCTGGGCCCTGCTCAGCCCCACCATCCTCAAAAAGGTGGCTGGAGACCCCAACCTTAGGAGCTCCTTAGATGTACTGGGGATAAGAGGGGCCTGGGACAGGGCAGGCTACCTGCTGTGTGTAGTCCTAGAAGGGAAAAGATAACCCGGGTCTGTGGACGAGATGGCTGGCTCAGCCTTGGTACCTGACTTGGGCAGCACGACCATCATGTCATCCAGGAGCCCCACCGTTGGGTAGAAATCTCGGAAGGCCTTCAGGGCCTGGGGATGCAGGTCTTGGGTCCTGCCTGCAGCAGACAGGCATGTGAAACCCAGGCATTCATAGGGGTTGTGGCAGAAGCAGAAGAGGATGGGGAAGGGTGTCCTGGCCTCATTCCATTTCCTGGAGGACTAATAGCTATACAGGGCCAGGCTCCAAATCCCCCCATATACACACGCGGGCACACCCAGATGCATGCCGGCCCCTGCTTGCACAGCCCCTCCTGATTGGTACGAGTTCCTGAGGGGCTGGGGGTAGCTGGGTCCACTCTGGGTCTGAGCTCCGTCTCCTCTAACCCTTTCCCTGCAGCTTTTCCCGCCGGTCCTGAGGCCTCGCCGCTCCACCGTGGAAAGTGGAGGAAATTAAAGTAGAATCAGTCCTAGTCTGGGGGTTCAGGCAAGGAGGCTTACCGAGGAGGAAAAGACTCCCACCCTCAAAGAGGGGTACGTACTGTATCTGTGCTGTCTGACCCTCAGGGACCTCACTCAGCAAACCCGTCTTGGTCCACAACTCAGGGAAGTTCCCCCACCACACCTGCCTCCCACCTCCACCCACCACCCACCAGGCCCAAATTCTAGCCAGGCCCAGACTGGCCCAGATTGATGGAATGGAAATAAGGGAAGGGGTCGGGCAAGTCCTAAGGGGTGGGATGCGGGACAGACCCAAACATGATCTAAAAGGGGCAGGTGGGCTAAGTTGAGAGGGATGGGGTGAGGGGAAACTGGTAGGGCTTAAGGGGAAGGCCTGTCTCTGGGGGAGTTGGGGGACAAGCAGAGCAGACCCAGGGACAGGGGCAGGCCACGGTTCTCACTGTAGAGCTGCACCACGGTGCTGAGCACGCCCTCCAGCTCCTTGTAGATGTACAGCACCGCATAAGAGGAGTAATCTGTGTCGGCAATGCGCACGTCCAGGTAGCCCAAGGCTGAGGGGGAAGAGGCATAGGCAGCTGAGATGTGGACAGTGTCTACACTGCTGCATCATATGAGCAAAACCTTATAGTGGGAGTCGGGGGGCGCCAAGGTAAACCCATCAGATACCCCAGCAGGACCTACCTGGAACTCGAAAGTGTCCCTGGGAGCCCACCCGCAGGTACTCAGCATCAGCCCGGGTACAGCCTTCTGCCCTGGAGTTATACAGCTGTCACTTCCCACAGCAGTGCTTGGTCCCTCCCAGCCAACCCACAGGTCATAGGTCACTCACCCCGGGAACTCCATGTGGACGCTGAGGTCACCCTCTACAGAGGCATTGACAGTTCTGGTGGATATCAGCATGTGGTCCTTCTCGCCCAGGAAGACTTTGCAGTCAGATACCATGGCAACAACATGCCAGAGGCCTGAGAACTGCACAGTGGCCCTGTGACTACAAGCCAGTGACCAGCACCTGGACCTCCATGACCGGGAACCCCAAGGGACAAGCCAAGGGACAGAGAAGCAGGGGTCACACAATGAGGGTCTCCACCAGGGCTCTGCCACTGAACACTTCAAGTCTCTGTTTCTCACTATGGATAGGTGCAGGGATGACCTGTGCCCAGAGCTGTCTCTGGAGCTAGTGAACAGTAAGTCTAAAGCATTCCCTGGCAAGTTTTAATGGATCTCGGTCCCTCCCAACCTGGGCACAGCAAGAAGTCTGGTACCTTTTGAGCATCAAAGTTAGGCTGCAGCAAGACCTCAGGTCGAGTCACAGACACACAGAAGAGCACCAGGACCCAGCTCAGCAGGACCGGCCCCATCTCTGTACCTTGACTCCAGTCCTGACACCCAAGTCCCCCAGCCCCTGTGGCATTGGTTTTATAGCTCAGCACAGCCCTGGGCTTTGGGTTGGGAAACAAGCGGAAGGCGCCTTAGAAACCTAGTCCTGCTTTGTCCATTGTGTGGCACAATCATTCATGTGTCCCCTCTGGCCCCAAGGGTCACTTCCTGGAGGGTTCCAGATAGGCAACCTCTTATCTGACACACCGGCAAAGGATTTGTCCCCAAACCCTCTGGGCACGTCACCAGTCACAGCCCTACATACTGGCTGCTGAGTGTGTCTAAAGCCTTCTCAGGCTGTCAGGATTCACACCCCACACACACCTCTGTCCACACTCTGCCCTACCTGGGACCAGGGCCCAGGGTCTTGGGAAGCAGGCAGATTTGAATTTGGCCTGGCCAGTACCCCAACACATACCCCTAGGGTATAGAGCACCCCACCAGTCCTCCCTCCCTCTAAACCCAACTCAGGGCTGGGGTCACCTCTGGTCTGGTTCCTGGATGTCATCCAGGGACAGAGCCTGTGCCAGCACAACTGTGAGGCAACCCTAGGCACCCTCCCTCCCTCCAGACACCCCAGCTGGGCCTCTTGCAATCAGGCCTGAGACAGGAGGGGCTGGGAGGCACTTAGAGTGGATTATGGTATCGATGGCCACCTTATCACTGGTTTCGGAAGTGTGCAGGTGGGAATAGACGCCAGGAAGGCGCCAGGGCCGGTGGAGGCTGGAGCCGAGAAAGGTCTCTCCAAGTGATCTTTGTCCCCACAGAGCACCCAGGGACCCTGGGCCAGGGACAGTGGGGACCACAGCAGGGACCAAGGGCAGAGCCAAGGGCTTGACACCATCGAGGCAGTTCCTGAGGTCCCATCTCGTTAGTGTCACAAGACAGAGCAGATAAAGACTTGGAGGAAAGGTTGAGGAGGGACTTAAGTCAGGCTTTATGAAAAGCCCTCAAGATTCAGTATTTAAAAGCAAGCAACCCAGTCACCAAAAAGCAAAAGATTTGAAAGATCTGGAAAGATGGCTCTGTCAGGAAAGTGCTTACCATGCCAGCATGAAGACCAAGGCTTAGATCCCAAACACCTACAAAAAAGTCAGATGCAGGGCTAGAGAGATGGCTCGGCAGTTAAAAGCATTTGCTGCACGCTGGGCATGGTGGTGCATGCCTTTAATCCCAGCACTCGGGAGGCAGAGGCAGGAGGATCTCTGTGAGTTCAAGGCCAGCCTGGTCTACATAGTGAGTTCCAGGACAACTGGGGCTACAGGAAGACCCTGTCTCAAAAAGACCAAAAAAAAAAAAAAAAAAAGAAGCATTTGTTGCTCTTGTAGAGGACTCAGGTTAGGGTCCCAGCACCCACATGGTGGTTAACAACCATCCTTAACTCCAGGTCCAGGGGATCCAATGCCTTCTTCTGACCTCCATGAGCACTGCACACATGGTAAATTTACATACATACAGGTACTGCATAGATGTGGTGCACTTACTACATGTGGATAAATACTTGAATAAATAAATAAATAAATAAATATTTTTAAAGACTCACTAAAAAGAGCCAGGCATGTTGGTGTGCACCTTTAATCCTACCACTGAAGAGGCAGAGACAGGCAGATTTCTGTGAGTTCAAAGCTAACCTGGTCTACATAGCAAGTTCCAGGTCAGCCAGGAATATACAGTGCCACCCTGTCTTAAAACAAAATAAAACCAAAAAACAAAAACAAAAAAGAATCACTAAAAGCAGCTGGAGAGGGGCTGGAGAAATGGCTCAGCAGTTAAGAGACCGACTGCTCTTGCAGAAAACATGGGTTTGATTCCCAGCACCCTGACGGCAGTTGACAATCATCTGTAACTCCTGTTCCAGGGGATCCAATGCCCTCTTCTGACTTCCATGGACATTGCACAACATGGGTGCACTTACATACATGCAGGCAATGCACTCATACACACAAAATTTTAAAATAATATATAAAACATTTTTAAAATTTTTTAAAGGCTGGAGAGATGGCTCAGTGGCTAAGAGCACATGCTGTGCTTGCAGAGGACCCGAGATCCATTCCCAGCGCCCAGTTCCAGAGGGCTCCAGCACCCTCTTCTGACCTCTGAGGGCACTGCAGACATGTGGGGCACATACAGATAAGCAGGCATACACACGTACACATAAATCTAAATTTAATTTTTTTAAAGAAAGAATCACTAAAAATTAGACCAGCTGAATGCCCTCCATAGTGGCTACACTGTGGTCCATCCCTGAAAGGGATGCTCCTCAGGCACAGATTCAGGAAACCGCCGACTCCCATGGCAACACTGCCACATCTCAGTCTACCGAGGGAAAGGACCCAGTCTAGGAAGTTTGCGATTGCCTGAGTATTTTCATATAACATTATAAAATAGGCCACATCACAGGGGCAAGTAGTCGCTCACTGGCTGTTAGCTGCTGAGGTACAAAATGAATGGAAGAAACTGCTGTGGACCTGCCAGTGGTGGTTCTGTGACTGCACCTGTGCAGACTGTGACCCAGTGGTGGTTCTGTGACTGCACCTGTGCAGACTGTGACCCAGTGGTGGTTCTGTGACTGCACCTGTGCAGACTGTGACCCAGTGGTGGTTCTGTGACTGCACCTGTGCAGACTGTGACCCAGTGGTGGTTCTGTGACTGCACCTGTGCTATCATAGGTAAATAGTAAAGAAGAAACTGTAGCTTACGTGGAGCTCAGCACTGTCCATGGTTTCAGGCACCCCCCAACGGGGAGGGTCCTGTTACATGTGCCCCCCATGCATTGTACATAAAATCAATCTCTCTCTCTCTCTCTCTCTCTCTCTCTCTCCCCCCCCCCCCCCCCACACCCCTCCTTCCCCCTCTC